AACAAGTAGATTTTTAGGTTAGAAAGAGCTGCAGGCTGCTTCCTTCTATTACCCTGCTTGTAATAGAATTAATAATAATTCTATTACCTGGGCCGCGCTCCTGCCGTCACCGCCGAGCGTGCCGCTAGACCCCAGCCCTGGCAGGGCGCGTGGCGAGCGAAGACCGCGAGCTCCCGGCCAGGGACGGATGCGCAAGGGCACCTCACCGAGAAGCAACTCGCGGCCCATGGTGCCCAGGAAATTGCACAAATCCAAAGCCGTTTTCTAATAATTAGCCAGACCCTTCCTCAGCGAGATGCTGGATCATCTCTCGCTCCGTCTGCTCACGCATCAGACCTCACCGCTCCGGGTCTGAAGACCACCCCCCCCCACGGGACAGCGACGGGGAGGGCAGAGGCAGATCTCCGGCCAAGGAAGCCACGCGAGCGAAGCGGGAGCGGCGTTTGGGGGGTTATACACACCCCGTTACTGTAGAACCGGGCCATCGACCAGCCGTTTGGCCCCTCGGGGCTTCAGTCTCCAGCACGGGGGAGAGCCTCGGCTTTAAGCTTGCCAGAGCTCTCCAAGACTAATTGGAAATGCATCTCGGCATAGGAGGTCAAAGGTACACAAACCCAAAGTCAATTTACCGCTAAATGGTTTACAACTGAGCCAAAGAAGAGCTAGAGATACCTGTGAGACGCTCCGCTGCTCTTCAACAGGACGGTTGGATGTTTCCAGCAGGTCATTTCCAGGGTAGCAAGAGGAACGAGGCCGACTGCCGGCTCTTGCTGCCACGGCGGTACCACGTGTGTTTGCCAGGATGGATGACGGGTGAATGCGAGTGAGGGAAGGGACAAAAGCTACGCTTGAGCTTCACATGGTAACCGGCACCCTTCTGTTTGTGTATTAATGCGTGGAAAAAGTAAAGCGTGTTTGTTATGACATGCCTGTACTGCTGTATGAAGCTGCGTGACGTGTTTTTGCTGTGTTCAGATTGACATGCTTCCAAAAAAATAAATAAAACCAGTGTGTTACAACCCCCGTTTATCCTGGAGATCAGAGTCTTCCAGACTCATATGCCCCATGGCTGCGGGAGGCTAAGCACTGTAAGGAAGTACTTCAAGTATTTCTGGCAAGTAAACTGAAGTTTAAAAACCCTCAAGAGACCTGGAACAGATTAAAATGAGAGCTCCTGGGGGGTGATAAGCAACTCCCCATTGCTGTATCTGAACACTAGGGTCTCAAAACAAGGGCCAGAGGGTAGAACAGATAAGGTAAGCAACAAGGTAAGTCTGAACTGCAGTGTCAAAACTGCACATGACAGCTGGATCAGAGTTCTGCAGGGTGAGCTCTAGGCTCAGCCGTGACGGAGAGTCTATCGGAGCTCCAGCAGCAAGATACTCTAAACAGAACGAAAATCATGGGAACTCACAAAGTCCGGAAGGCTTTGGTCCAGGGAGAGGCTGAGAAATACAATACTAGTGAGGAAGAGCGAGAGTACAAGTCTTTATTAAAAATAGGATCCTATAAAATAGAATAGGAAAGCAAAGGCCTTTTCCCACTCACTTCTTCCCCACATGCTTCTGTTGCTTCAGGTTACTTCCATGGCTCGACTCCTTAAAGAAGACTAATAGTGAGTTCCAGCAAAATCCATGCTGGAAAACAAGGAATCAGGCCAAGTACCACAACTGCATAGAGGCAACATGGAAAGAGAATTTTCTTGGCCAGCTACTGAAAAGCAGGCGTCTCAGAGTGTCTGTAAATTGCTGCTGGATGGGAAGATCGGGAGGTGTCACATAACTCTTCCACACCTGGAAAAAAGAGAACTTGGGATGTGACTCAGCTCATGCCTCCCTTAGCAGATGGTTCTGAAGGCCAAGCCCCACTGACCGGCCTCTGAACATCGACAGGCACGTCCTAAATGGTGGAGACTGAGGCACGAGACCAGGTAAGCTGTGCTCTGGTCCGTCCTCTCACCAACAGTTCCCTCCACAAACAACTTAGTTTTGAGATAACCTTTCCCTGGAGGCAGCTCACTCCATGTCAGTCCCGGAAAGCCCCAGCGTCAGTGGAAGGCACTGCCCAAAGCCCTCCGCTAGCCAGAGGGTTTCGTACTCCGCCTTACCCGCTAGCTCCGGATTACTGCACCAGTCTGTAGGTGATGTAGCGGCCTGCAGTCTCACTCGGTCTTATGATCTTCACTACCTAGAAGGACGACAGAAGGAACTCATGAGGGAGAGAAGCTGGGGGAAGTTTCCCCTGCAGGGCTTCCCTGCCCGACACGGGTGCGCAGCTGCAAAGCCGCGGCACTCAGCAGCCACAGAGATGGTCGGCACCGAGCTCCCTGCTTCAGCTGGGGGCGCAGCGTGGAAGTGCCACCCCCCGTGCGAGGGGAAGGGGAGATCAGAGCGCGCGGGGCTGGTGTCACACTTGGCTGTTACCAGCTGATTCAGCAGGCAGTCAAGACTGCCACGTCCCTGCTAGGAGTCTGCTCAGCTTACACACGTCCGTACCTAACCTACAACAGCTTTTATGTTTGAAAGAGATACCTTTCCTGTCTCCAAGAGTTCTGAAATACTGTAGAGGACCTCCCCTCCTTGCCCTTCCCACAGGGAAATGTTGCCTGAGCCTATGTCTCTCTTACCTGGCCACGCTTTATTCCAAAGTACCGGGCCACAGGATCCCCTGCCTGTATCCTCGGGAGCTGGTTCTCTCTCAGCTTACTGTGCAGGGAGTCAAGGAGGAGCTCGCCCGGCAGAACACGCAGCTGGCCCAGGGGGCCCTTGGTTAGCACAGCTCACAGAACAAAGCAATAAACCGTCGCAAGCGGAGGTACTCGCTTTCAGCCCAAAGCGAGTACGCCTCACGCCCAGGCAGGAAGGGAAGGAACAAACAAAGGATACTATCTGGCCAGTAGCTCAGTTACTTCTTCCTTCGTCATGACAACGTGTTCCGGGACCAACTGTAAACAACAGGGGAGAGAGATTGTAAGATTAGAAAGGCAGAGAAAGGGTCTGGCTCCTCACAGTGGTGGGAGAAGCAACTTGTTTGTAAGGAAGCAAACTACGACTGCATTACTTCCAGCACGAGAAAGTCTCTAGGAACAGCCTGAGCCGCAGGTCAGCGCCAAAGACTGATCATCCCACCCTCACTCCGCTGCCCGACACCGCTCACCTCGTGTTCTGTGATGTTGATCAGAAGCTCTTGCTGCAGGAACTGCTCCAGAATGTATTTGGGAGCCATATCTACCAGGGACTGGAAAGGGAAAGGGTTGTCAAACGTCAGCGCTGCCCTGGGACAGCCCTGCCTGTGCTCAGATCTGCTCCTCAGCAAACACCAGTCACTGCAGGATCACTACGCTCGTGCTCGCACAGATACAGCTACGCGAGCGCAGACCTCTTGGCCACTGGCAAACATCCCCTTTTCTCTTGCCAGTCTCCTGACTATTCATGGGCTCTCAGCTGTTCTTCTGGAACCAGAACCAGTCCCAGTCGTTCTACTTAATACACAGGTCCATTAAACAAGAGCCTGTATTAAGGTACGACAGGCTTTAGCTAAAGATTGTATCTGGAAGGAAATTCTAGGCTTCTATTAACCGAAAGTGGCACTGAAAAACAGACAAGCAAAACATCCACGGCCCACAATAACCCCGATGCAGAGACAACCTCCTGTGCCAGTGCTTTGTACCTGCTTTGCCGACGGAGTCATGCCTTGCTGTACCACGATCAGCGCTCTGGTGATGTTCTCCTCCTGCATCCTCTGGCAGTACATCTTGATCGTCTTTATTCCGACCTTGGGCTCCTCTGGGGAAGCAGCCAGCCCCAGGGTTACGAAGAGCCCCCGCCATCCGATGCGCCCCTTCAGAAAGCAAAGCCAGCCCTTCTGCCCGGGGACCGCGGCCGCCGCGGCGCCAGAGCGGGCGCTGCTCACCCGGGAAGAAGACGAACATCTGGTCGGTGGGGTCGTCGTTGTGAGCCACCAGCACCGTCAGGTCCGTGCGCCGGGGCCGGCCCTCGCTGGGCTTGTCACCGAACTGCGCCTTGAACTC